AGCAGTTTTCACCCTTGGACTCAAAATCAATTAACAAATGGTGTTTTAGTTGACAATTTGTTTTGTTTCCTTTTCGTTACGTTGTTGTTGTTTTGCCTTTACAATTCCTTCTTTTACGTAAAAGGCCATGTCATTTCACTCAACGCTACCATCAAATCCATTTACAGCCATTTGTCCGAGATACGCTTATAAAATCTTCTTTCTCCTAACTTACATGAATTCATTATGTGTCCTAGTAATTCAACTTCGTAATTTCTATGTACCGTGACCCTTTGCTACCTTTGTCACCCCGAGAAATGATTGTCTCTTTTTTTAGGACCTTGAATAAGTTCTTGCTGTTTTCCAACAGATGGCGTTCGCAGACGTGTGTGCATGTAGTTTCAGATGGTAACGCATCTAGAAGGAAGTACTCTAAGCTAGCTTGAAATTCAGTGCATCTCGTTTCGCCGAAGTATAAACAACTTTTGTTTTTCATAGCGTTAAAACATGTAGGATTCCGTGCCAAAGAAAATGTAATTGAGAGGCATTATATTGCATTCAAAAGAAATCTGCAGGTGAAGCTCACAAAATTCTTGTTGAGACTTACGGCGACTATGTTCTGTCGGAAACAACGTGCAGATATTGGTTTAGACGCTTCAAAGATAATGATTTTGATGTTGAAGATAAAGAACGCTCTCGCGCACCGAAAATGTTTGAGCAGGAAGAATTGGGGGAGGGGGGAGTTATTTCAGGAAGACTCAAGTCAGGCGCAAGCTGAACTTGCAGAATCATTAGGAGTTGATCACACAAGAGATTCAAAAAGTTTGAAAGCATAAGGAATGAGTAAAACGCAAGGACTTTGGGTGCCGTACGAGTTGAAGCCGAGAGACGTTGAACGACGTCTTGTCACGTGTGAACAGCTGCTTCAGTGACAGAAAAGGTAGGGTTTTTTGTGCTTCGTAGCGTGACCGGTGATGAAATGTGGATACATTACGATAATCCTAACCGTAGAAGATCGTGTAATAATCCCGGCTATGCATCAACATCGGGGCCAAAGCCGAATATCCATGGTTTGAAGCTTCTCATCTGCATTTGGTGGGATCAGCTGCATGTAGTTTATTATGAGCTGCTCAAACCGATCGAAACCATCACGGGAGATCGCTGTCGACTACAATTGATGCGTTTGAGCCGAGCATTGAAGAAAAACAAAACGGCCGCTATACAAACAGAGACACAACAAAGTGTGTATGCAATATGTCAACTCTAGGTCACATGTTGCAAAACTGGTGAAAATTTATTAGGAAACGCTTAAATGGGAAGTCCTACCTCAGCTGCCGTATTCACCAGACATTGCCTTTCCGATTAGCACTTCTTCCGATCGATGGCACATGGTCTGGCTGAGTAGCACTTTCATTCTTATAAAGATGCCAAAAAAATGGGTCGATTCGTGTTTAGTCCCAAAAGACGTGTTTTTTTTCCCGACATGCAATTCGAATGCTGCCAGAAAGATGGGAAAAAAGTAGTCACTAGCGATTGGCAATACTTTCAGTAACATTACTAATTTTTGTAAATATAACATTACTTTTCATGAAAAATCAGCGGGAACTTATTCAACGTCCTAACACAATCCCGCTTTCAACCAGTTGTGACATCCATTTACAAAAGCACGGTATTTTTTATTACTTTATTCCTTAGTAGCAGTCCGAACAATGTAAATAGTGTAATTAGTTACAATATCTCATCTCAGAAATATAGACAGATCCTGAAGAAGGCCGGAGCGTACAACAGCTGAAAAGTCGGGTATATGGTAATAAATATAAGGACAACAGTCCGAACGATGTAAGTAGTGTAATTAGTTACAATACCTCATCTCAGAAATTTAGTCAGATCCTGAAGAAGGTTGAAGTGTACAACGGCTGAAACGTCTTTAATATGTGAATAAAGATGAGGACAACAGTCCGAATAATGTAAATAGAGTAATTAGTTACAATACCACATCACAGAAATATAAACACGTCCTGAAAAAGGCCGAAGTGTACAACGGTTGAAAGGTCGTTAATATACATTATTTACATTATTCGGACTATTGTCCTTATCTTTGTCGCCATATTTATTACAAAGTTGAGGCCGTTGTACGCTCCGGTTCTTCAGTTGGTTGGAATGAAGACTTAATCTTTATTTCGCTCACCAAAAAGACTGTTCTAGTTCCACGCCATGTTTAAGGGTTATATTCGACATTCCACCCAAAACAATGAAGGCCGGGTGTACAACGTCCGAAACGTTGTAATAAATATGACGACAAAGATGAGGATAATAGTCCAAAAAATGTAAATAATGTACTTAATACCTCATCTCAGAAATATAGACCGATACGTCGTTAATATGTTAATAAAGATGAGAACAACTGTCCAAACTATGTAAATAGTGGAATCAGTTAAAATATCTCATCTCAGAAATATAGACAAATCCTGCAGAAAGCCGGAGTATACAACGACTGAAACGTCGTGAATATGGTAATAAATATGAGGACAACAGACCTAACAATATAAGTAGTGTAAATAGTTACAATATCCTCATCTCAGAAATACTGACAGATTTTCATTTGGTTAAACGCTTATATATATTTCCTTTCATTTTTTTTTGTAAGCATACAAGAAATCAGACGTACCGTCGAATCATGTAACTTCACCGGAAAGATATCTAAAAATAAAACCTATCTTTTTTTTTTTTTTTTTTCTGTTGATCCTTTTTACGTCCGTGGTTAAAATGGAGACGTAAAACTCAGACTTCGAGAAAAACTTGAAATGTGATCTTTACTCCAGCAGTGTTTTTTTTTTTTTTAATTTTCAAGACTTCTTCGTTATGACTTCTTCGTTAGAAATATGAGTAAGACATAGTCTGTCTATTCTAGCCCTTTAAATGTTTTGTTTTATTAGGTTGTCATTAATTATGGCTCTCCACAACATCCTTTTGTTTTCTTATCTGATTATTCTCGGAAAAAATCGTGGAGAGGTTTTCATTGGTCGCTGCATGGTTTTGCATTTAGAGAGCTATTCCTCATACTTCTCTATTCAATTCCCGTAAGGGCTTTGGGTTTAAGGGCAAGGCTCTCCACCACATCCCTTTTTTTACATCTGTAAACTACGATGATTATTCTCAGAAAAGATCTTGGAGAGGCTTTCGTTGGCTTATTCACAGTTTAGTATTCAGTGAATTATTCCCGTATTTCTATATTCAATTCCTATAAGGGCTTTGTGTTAAGGAGTTATGACTCTCCACAGCATCCTTTTTTTACATCTGTAAACTACGATGATTCTTCTCTGAAAAGACCTTGGAGAGGTATCCGTTGCCTTCTGCACAGTTCTGTATTCAATGAATTATTCCCGTATTTGTCTATTCAGTTTCTATAAAGGTTTTGTGTCATCAGACTTTAATGGGTTATGACTCTCTACAACATCCATGTGTTTCTTTTTTAATCTCTATAAGCTACCAATTACTAAGATTGATTTCTTGAAATATTGCGGAGTGTTTTTTGTTGTTGTTTCATCTTCACCACTGTTAATGCGGCCTTGTAGGTGATGAATTATTTTAAATCCTCCAACCATTTTACAGAGAAGTAATGTATACTGGTCTCTCATTCTTCTCTCAATATTTTCAAGGTAACTATTCTGACGAGGTACATTCGTTAGTTCCACCAATTCAGACATTTAGATTTAGAATTCCCATGCCACCTACACAGGGTCAAATCACCCTCATACCCACCGTATTCCATTAACAAGTAGGAAGTTCCACATATTTTACCACAGAACTTTGATTTCATGGAACTGACTCCCGTGGGGATGCTTCCTCGATCACTACGATTTTAACCTTTTCAAGTCTAGGGTCAATTGTTTCTTGTCATACATATCCTCATAATCCACACTTCTTAATTCTCTACAACAACCTCATATTTAGTAACCCTCTAACTTGAGTGGCTCTTATGTATTCTATCAGGCGAACAGCAGTATAAAAGAATCATTGAAGATAAGAAAAAAACGAACGTTCTGTTTATTTACATTTAATATTTTTGTGGATGGCTGACAGGATGGAAACAATCATGTATAGTGAAAATATGTTTAGAGCAACATCAGGTAGGAAATCGTGAAGAGCCACCAACGCCCATGTATCTGGCACATAGAAGAAGAAGAGAAACATTCTTCTAATATTTGCTAAGCATAGCTTATGTTGGCTCTATTCCAGCAACGATATGCAAACAGTAAGTATCAATTTAGTTATACTTGGTATTGTTCTGGGAGACATGATTCCTAATCTTTACCCTACGGTAGGCACACTATTTTTCTTTCTATTTTTTTTTTTTTTTAAGAAGGAACAAGTGTGGGGACGGCATTGTGTAGTTGTTAATCTTTGCATTGAATTTATTGAGAGAGTGTGAGCGTATATGCTGTGTCCACACTGCGTTGTATAAATAAATATAAGTCAGTACAAATCTCTCGACGCAGAAAGGCTTGATTCGTGCCTCCTTCAAAGGACAAACAACTTCACGCACAGTGCATGTCTAATCGGATTGTCAGTCTGAAGTGTTCAAAGTTCGATATTCACAGCCAAATGCATACTGTTTCCAAGCAAGCCGGCGACGACGCTTTTCTTTTTCACTCTTTCATTCTATGCTTCTATCGTTTTTTTTAATTTTTTTTTTATTTTTTTTCCAAAATCGGCCAAGCCTGCAGTAACAAACATGGCGGAAGCGACTCAAGAACGACATTGCAGATTTATCTCAAATGATTGTGTACGTTGGATTTTTTTTTTTTTTTTTATAGATTTTTTATGCCTGACTGATTATTGTTTTTTTTTTTTCTTTCTTCTCATTCGTTTATTTACTTATTTGCCTAGAATTTTATTATTTTTTTTCCTTCTTTTGCTAATTATAATTTGTGATTGGTAAATGTACTTGGAAGCATTGTGCGATTTCACGTTTTTCTTGGTTACGTCTCCATATTATTTTTTTTCTTTTCTTGCTGTCAATGTTCTTTACTGTTTTACCATCTTTTTCTTCTTCTGCGTTACCCCACTTCTTCTTTGTTACTAACCACTTACTTCTTCTTTGTCTTCTTCTTTTGTCTTGTTACTTCTCCTCCTCCTCCTCTTCTTCTTGTTTGTCTTCGTCTTTCACCTTCTTTGTCTTCTCCCCTTCTTCTTCTCCTTCCTTCTTTTGTCTTTTTCTTTTTGTCTTCTGTTACTGTTCTTCATTTTCATCTTCTTCTTCTTCGTTCTTCCCTCTTCTTCTTCTTCTTTTGTCTTTTCTTTGTCTTCCTTCCTCTTCTCCTTCTTTTCTTCTTCTTCTTCTTCTTCTTTTTGTCTTCTTCACTGCCTTCACTTTTTCTTCCTCTCCTCCTCCTCCTTCTTTTGTCTTTTCTTTTGTCTTCTGTTACTGTTCTTCTTCTTCTTCTTCTTCTTTACTCTTCTTCTTCTTTGTCTTCTTCTTCTTTTTCTCTTCTCCTTCACTTCCTCCTCTCCTCCTCTTCTTATTGTCTTCTTTAAATTTTTTTGTCTTCTTATTTCTTTTTCTTTTCTTCTTCTTCTTCTTCTTTTTGTCTTCTCTTCTTCTTCTTCTTCTTCTTCGTTACTCCTCTTCTTCTTCTTCTTCTTCTTCTCTTCTTCCTTCTCCTCTTCCTTCTTCTTTGTCCTCACCTTCTCTCCTCCTCCTTCTTCTTCTTTTGTATTTTCTTTTGTTACCTGTTACTCCTCTTCATTTTCATCTTCTTCTTCTGCGTTACTCCTCTTCCTCTTTTTAGTAGGAGTAGTAGTATAAATAGTAGCATTTCTTCGAATTGTTTGTGACTTCTTCTTTCTGTTCTTCTTCATCCTCATCTTCGTTTTTTTAATTTTTCTTCCTCCTTTTCTTTTTCTTCTTCCTTTTTGTTCTTCTCATCCTATCCCTTTTTTTAAGCTTATTATTATTATTATTATTATTATTAATGATAGTAGTAGTAGTAGAAGTAGTAGTACTTGTAGTAGTATTTCTGTTTCCAATGCATGGCTCTGCTTTTTCTCCTACATCTTCCCTGTTTTCTCCTCTCACTTCTCTTTTTCTCCTTCATCAATCTTCTTCTTCTTTGTCATATTCTACTACTCCTCCTCTTCTTTTTTTCTTCACCTCGTCCTTTTCATCTTTTAATTCTTATGCGGCTTCTCATCCACACACTCTTCTTCTTCTTCTTCTTCTTTGTCTTCTCTTACTCTACTTCCCTCTCCTCCTCCTTCTTCGTCTTCTCTTACACCACTTCACTCTCCTCCTCCCCCTTTTCTTCTTCTTCTTCTTTGTCTTCTCTTACTCCACTTCCCTTTCCTCCTCCTCCTTGTCTTCTCCTAACACTTCCTTCTCCTCCTCCTCCTCTTATTCTTGTTTTCTTCGCTTACCCCATTTCCCTCTCCTCCTCCTTCTTTTTCTTTTCTTTTGTCTTCTCTTACAACTTTTCATTTTCTTCTTCTTTTTTTAATTTTCTTTTCTTTTTCATCTTCTTATTGTGATTATTAATCTTATTATTATTATCATTAGTAGTAGTAGCAGTAGTATTCGCCTTATTATTATTACTAATAGTAGTATTAGTATTTAATTAGTATTCTAATTCCGCCAATTTTTTTTATCTCTTCCTTTTCCTACAATACCCAGCTTCTCTTTCATTCTTTTCCTTTTCAATGTTTATTTTTAGTATGCTTAATATTTTCCCTCGAGGACGAGGCAGCAGAAATGTGGTTCTACAGAAGGATACTGAGAATTCCATGGACGGAGCTAGTAAGCAGCGAGGAAGTCTTGGAGAAAATGGCAACAGAGAGAACACTCATAAACGGCTGAATTTCTTTTTCAATTTAAGGTCTCTGTCAGATGATTAATAGAAAGCAATTTCATTTTTGAGGCGTTAACATTAACATTATTTGTGCTAGATTATACACCCTTGTGCAAATTAACAGAAACAACCGCTTTTGTTTCCTTTCTTTCCCCATACAATCAGTTTTAGACCCACTGAAGTGACAGGGTGTAATCGTTTACTATTTGTCTCAGATTGGCTCATGTGCAGTTATAGAATCTATTTTCTGGGTGTATGATGAAATTGTTTTTGTCTTGAAAAATACTGCGTCCACCGTGATCGCATCAGATTTTTATCACGCCCAGACACTACTGTCTCGACTGTCGATTAGTTGTCCTACGGTCATTTTCTGCGATGGACGTTACCCAAAAACAAAACTTTCTTTTGTAAAAAGTGTCCACGAACACACTGGCAAAAACTTACCAATACGCAAATTTAAATTAAATATATAGAAGGCCCGGAAACTGATTTAAATCAAATCTTCAATCTTTGGTCAGTCTGAAAAAACCCTATTAAAATGGAATGGAATGTGTTTTATCTAACACTTTTATTATTTTTATATTAAAAAATAAAAATGAAAAAAACATTTTATGGAATCATTCAAACTTTTTCAATTAATTTTCAGAAAGGTGTATATTTTTTTAGGTTACTTTTCATCAAAAATTTGTCAATTTGAGTAGATAAACGTAATATATTAAAGCTTTGAAATGAAATTGAATTTTCCTTATTGTTTTTTATAGATACCTGTCAAAAAAACATTTTATTTAAGATAAATCCTTGGCACATAATAATTTATTTATATGAAGCCTAATAAGAACAAATTTTTGTTTTTGTTTCTTTTAATTTTTTTTTTATTTTCCGTGAATATGAAAGATCTTAGGTCCAGCCAAATGTTTTCTAAATTAACAACGAAATAAATTTCCATATATATTTTCATATATATAATTTATTTATAGTATAACGTTATTAAATATATATATATATATATATTCTAAAATTGGGGTTGGATGAGTTTTTCATTGAGAGAAAAGTTTGGTACTTTTCGAAGAGAAAAGCAACTGAATTAAACGTAATTTAGGTTGTAATGAAAAATTTTTTTGGTGGGATACTTTGTTTCTTTGATAATTTTCCAAAAAACAAATCTTTCTGGTCTCAGACAAAATAGTCTTCAAATTTTCGAGAAATTCAAGAAAGAATTCTTGTCTGATTATTGCTCAACAATTGTAAAGTTTTCTTTTCTAATTCTGATCTCTTAAATAATTATTTAATGATTTCAGGACATGGAAAAATTAAATTATTTTAATAATATATAGAAATTTGGGCTTGTGAAGCAAGGTCATGAAAACTACGAAACCTTCTTTATGTAAAACAAAATAATCGAATTTTTCTTTAAATCCAAAATTACAAAAGCTCCAACATCTCGTTTGCGGATCTAATATCTTCTTCTTTTTAATATATATAAATATATATATATATATATAAATAAATATTTTGTGCCAACATTTTATTTGGAATGCAATTTAAAAAATCATATTTTAAATTTAAAGAATTCATATATATATATATATATATATTAATATATATAATAATATATTTTATTGGTGGGAGAATTGTTTGCTATCTCAAATTACAGAATTCGGAAAGTTTTGAATTCTATTCTTCTGATCCCATTACTGAGGGTCATAGCTTTTAATCTACCACTTAGTTTTTGAATGTTTTCATGGAACCAAAAAATCTATGGGTAAATAACTCAGGACAGACTGTTTAAATTGCCCCTATTTTCTACACAAACAAAAAAACTTTCGTGTATTCAAAACAAAATGAAAAAGTTTTCATTCAGGGATCTTTTTTAGATCTGAACTTCTGCTATACAAACTATTTATATATGGTGCCTTCTACAAAAGTATTCGTGTTTATAAAAATAAATATATATGTTAATTGTTAAATTTTCAAATGTTTTCATAAATAATATATATAATATATTTTTTAATTTGATTAAATTTATTAGTGTTATTGGACATTGGATATATATATATATATATATATATATATATATATATATATAAATAATAAATTAGTAAAAATTTATTTTTTCAATTGATTTCTCCAATACGGGGAAAAATTTTTGTTGAAACAGTGACTATTACAGCTAATAATGCAAGACTCTTCAACAAATCATCGAATCGTGGTCTCTCAGTCAATCTGTGTATTTTTATCTAAAAAAATACTTCAGTCATAGTCATCCATCCCGTGAGCCAATGTCTTAGTAGTAAAATCCCCGACTGATTTAATTCAGTCGGCTTTCGATCTAGCTAGAGGCAACCGGACGTCTTTCTGAGCCAAAATGATCAAAATGTGATACAGCGAAACAGTTTGTTTGTGGATGACAATATATATATATATATATATATATAATATAATCGATATGTTTCGACAATTATTTTAATATATTTTTTGTTTATACGTTAATTTTATAGATACAAACTTTTAAGAAAACGCTCTGTTTGTTGTCGGACTTGGTTTATTTCATAATATTTTATATCATTTGTTTACGTTAAGATACGTTTTGAGCATATATGAACGTTCGAGACAAATCATGGAGCGTTTGCGGTTCTAAAATAGTAATTTAACCTTTCTAACAAGACGCTTCCTCTGTAGCTAAATGGCATAGCACATCAGGACATATGTCGGTTCCATATAGGATTCAGGTTTGATTCGATGAGGAAAAATTTTCTTTCAGATTTCTCGGATATTCAGGCCGGTAAGTGTTGCGAATAATGCTTTTATAAACAGATTATTTACTTAAAAATTTATATAATGTTGTGTGGGGTGTCCAACTCTCTCTATATACATAGACACTATGAAAATAGAAATTCTATAGAACTTAGGCGGGTAATGGTTTGAAAAAATACTCGTAAAATCAATTTTTTGTTGTTTGGGTCTCTCATAATTTCTGCCTTGTGTCACATCTACGGTAAAGCTTAGAAAAAAATATATATATATATATATATATATATATATATATATATATATATATATATATAAATATATTAAAATGGACAAAATCACAATTTATTTTTAGGCATTTTTTTGTTTATACATTCTTTTTATAGCTAAAAATATTTATATGTAAATGCATTTACTTAAATATTTGTATTTAAAAAAAATGTATAAACAAAAGTATAATAATAATTAAAAAAAAAAAGAATTATTAATCTACAACCCAGTGTGTCTAAATTTTTAATTTTTTGATTTTTTAATATTTTTATTGTTCAAAATATATATATATATATATATATATATATATATATATATATATATATATATATATATATATATATAGCATTAAAAATGTATAAAATATGTATACTTCAAACTAGTTTAATGCTGAAAAGACTAATATCCTCCTGGGTCTCTCATACTTTCTGCCTTGTGCCACGTCTACGCTACGATTTGAAAAACAATCTATCTATCTCTCTATATATATTTTGAAATATGTCCAACAGTAATTTTAATACATTTTCTGTATATACGTTATTTTAATAGATACAATTTATTTAAATAGATGTGTGTGTGTATGTAAAATACGGGAATGACTTATTTAAATATATATTTGCGTTTATTAATATATATGTATGTAGGTGTACTTAAGTGCACATATGCGTTTAAATGTATAGGTTAGCTATACGTTTTATTTCTGGGAATGAATATCTTTATATGGAAAATAAATATATATATATATATATATACATATATATATACATATATATAAATAAAATGATTGAGGGAAAGAAAGAAAATGTCTTTATTATAGTGTGCATACATTTTTCAATATTTTATCAGCAGAAAATAAACCTTAAGAATTGGCAAGTTGTTTTTTTTTCTTAATTTGAAATACTTTTTGTATGATATTGTTATGTTTTTTTCTTTTTATCTTCAAACGGCTTGTTATATATTCGTCGAGTTATTCATCTCTTCGGAGTCATTAAAATATTTTTGAACATTCAGGGGAAAAAAAAAATCTTCTTCGAAATTGAAATCTGCAAATAGACGAGTTAATAGAAACGTCAAAACAGAATCGTTTCGAGATCAAACCTGACGAACGCTAATAAAGTGTTTTGTCGCGAAATGAAGGGACCGAGTGACGAGGAAAGACATAGGCAGGAGGGAAGTGTGGAGTACGTTTGAAATTCAAAGACTCCGGAAACACAGACAGAGAGTCCGTCAAAGGAAAAAACAACAAATCGGAAGCAATGTCAGAAAATAAAATCAAAAGCTTGTCGAGAAAAAATAAATATGAAGGATTTTTTCTAGATTATTCATTAGCTGTCTTCATATGCAATCGACGAGTTACAGTAATAAAAACAAAAATATTAAAATGGAAAATATGTGTCTATCGAAAAACAATACACATACACATATATATGCTTTATTATAGGATATTATATAAAGATATGTAAAAGACGCTACATAAATGCAAATGTTTCGGTACATATTAACACATCTTGTGTAATACTCGTTGTAGTAGAGACTTTGTAATCGCAGATACAACTTATCCAAAAAATAATAATGGTGTTGAAACTTGACTAATGCATGGAATAATAATGCAACACAAAATGTACTTAGAACAATATGTATTGAAACAAGAAAGTGTACACAATATTTACATATAGTCTTTTGTATATTCCTGGTAAGACCGTTCCTGGAGAATGTGTTGACTGAGTCGCAGTCGGGCAGAGTCTCTGGATTGAATCTCTTGATTCCTCCCTCTCTTCCCGGTACCAACCATATTTATATGGTCGGTACTCCACTATGCAAATTAGGTGGATCCTATCACAACAAATGGTTATAAAAGAACAATTACAATGAATTAATGAGTTCGATCCTCACTAGGTATTTATACTTTCGGCTATAATAACATCTAAGCTACGCTTGAAATATGAAAATGAACAGCTGCTGTCATACTCTCTGCCCAAAGACAGAGAGAAACCCTGACATGAGCCGAAGGGCAGAAAAAATTCCGGGGAGGTAACAGACCGAGACCCTTTATGAGGGTCCTATGATCTTTTTTCTGAGCCTACGAGCACGGATGACTCAAAAACTCGAAAATTGCCATTTATCTACCCTTGTATGTAAAAGTTGGAGCTAATAAATATCAAAATCTAGACTGGTGTCACTTTTCCAAGAACAGACTAGATGTTAGGTCAGGATAGATAGCGCTGGAGATTGTTGAATTCTAACATTTTTGTTGCATATATATATATATATATATATATATATATATATATATATATATATATATCATCTAAATATTTGAATTGAAGGAGATATATAGATAGGTAGATAGATAGATAGATATGAACAGACTGAGATAGACAGAACAGAAAAATGATTGATTTCTATATAGATAGATATATATATATATATATATATATATATATATATATATATATATATATATATAGATAGATAGATAGATAATATAGGCAGGCAGAGAGTTAGATAAGCGTATTTCAAATCAAACATCTAAATGAGCAAATTGTTTTTTTTTCTCGTTTACTTTTTTTGTGAAAACCGAACTGCCTAGATGTCATAGAAGGAGAATTGTTTTGATCAATGATGAAAGAAAAGCATCAATACCGTATCGTTTCTCCTGCCAACGTTTTTCTCAATGTTCCCCTGTCTGTCCATTGAGGCATCTGCGCAAATTCACCGTGTTTCCTCCAGCATCTACAAAGTGTTTCTGTCTTTCCAAAGTTATCTTTCCTCTTCCATTCTCTTGTGCAGAATTTATTTAAATCCATCCATCTTTCTATATATATATATATATATATATATATATATATATATATATATATACGTATGTGTATGTGTGTGTCAGTGTGTGTGCGCATAAAATGTCCGTCACAATCTATGTTTACTAACGGCAACTGGATGAATTTCACATTCAGTTAAGCAAAATGTCACCAGCATAAATTAATTGACGAGGTTCAAATTTGCTTCGCGTCAATTCGATAGATAGATAGATAGATAGATAGATAGATAGATAGATAGATAGAATGGGAATGTTTAGATAGATAAAATCAAAATTGAATATATACGAACATAGATAGATAGATAGATAGATAGATAGATAGAATGGGAATGTTTAGATAGATAAAATCAAAATTGAATATATACGAACATAGATAGATAGATAGATAGATAGATAGATAGATAGATAGAATGGGAATGTTTAGATAGATAAAATCAAAATTGAATATATACGAACATAGATAGATAGATAGATAGATAGAATGGGAATGCTTAGAAAGATAAAATCAAAATTGAATACATACGAACATAGATAGATAGAATGGGAATGCTCAAAGAGATAAAATCAAAATCATAGAGACATTGTGGTATTATGGTGGATGTAGTAAGAAAGTTAAGTAAGTATGTGTTGTTTTGGTGTTAGGAATATTGAGGAATGTTTGGGTCAGTGTTTGTGGCTAGCTAAGTTG